TGTGAATTAATACAGTCATTATAGAAATCAGTATGGAGATTCCTCAAGAATAGGAATGGATACGCCATATGACCCAGCTATTCCATTCCTCAGTATTTATCCCCCCCAAAAAACCCCTAAAATCAGCATACTATGGTGTTACATGCATTCCCAGGCTTATAGCAGCACAATGCACAATAGGCATGTTATGGAAGAACCCATCAACAGATGAACAGATTAAAAAAATGCGGTATATATAGACAATTGAGTTTTACTGGGGTCATAAAGGATGAAATTATGTTACTTGATGATAAATGGAAAGGACTGGAAGACATTATGCTAAGTTAAACAGGCCAGACTCACAAAGTCAATGGTCAAATATTTTCTCTCATATGTGGAAGGTAGAGAGAGGAAAAAATAAAGGAATAAAAAGGTATCTCACAAAAGCAGAAGGAAGACCAACAGAGTAGAGGAAAGGGATCTAGAGGGAGGGAAGAGGGAAAGGCAAGGAGAGATAATTGTGAAACTAAATCAACCAAATTATGCTATATCCATGTACAAACATACCAAAAATGAATCCTACTTTGTATATAATTATAATGAACTAATTAAAAGAATAATGGAATGGAGCCCAGTAGAGTAGTAGGAGGCATGGGGGAGGGAAGAAAGAAAAGGGGGAAGTTCCAGGGAATGAAACTGATCAAATAATGTTGTATGCATGTATGAATATGTCACAATGAATCCCACTATTATGTGCAATTATAATGCATCAATAAAAACATAAAAAGATAGTTTTGTTTTTCTTTTCATTGTGTATGTGTGTACAGAGATTATAATTAAGCTAGAAGAGGAAACTAGAAAAAGAGAATGAAAGTACAGAAAATGGCAGCAGAAAAAAGCAGGAAGAGGGCTGAGAAAAGTGAGGAAAATTGATGGAGAAAAGTCCCAAGATAAATAGGATGCCTTGAACAGGAGGTGAGTCAACCCAAGACAGAAAATGAAGATAATTGAAATAGGTGCAGAGGTAAATATGTTTGGGGGGAATGAAGTAAGAAATTAAAAATGACATGAGACTGATGGCTCTATCACAAAACAAAATACTTAGGAATAAATATAACACAAGTAGTATAAAACTTATATTTTGAAAACCACAAAGCGTTGCTGAAAAGAATTAAAGATGACCTAAACAGAAAGAAAGATAGATAGGCAATATTCTTAGATTATAAAATTTAATATGGTTAAGATGATAATACTTTTCAATGACCTACACATTTCATGAAATCCTTAACACAATCATTATTGACTTCTTTTCAGAAATTGACAAGATGATACTAAAATTCATAAGGAAACATAAAGGACCCAGAATAGCCAAAATTATCTTGAGAGGGAGAAAAAAATAGAAGACTCACATTTCCCAATTTCAGAACTTTCTACAAAGCTAGAGTAATGCAAATTTATATGCCAATTTAAAAAATCTTTCTAAAAACATTGTGGTGCTGGCATAAGGATAGGTGTTAGGAGCAGTGATTTGAATTACGGTCTCTTACTGTCCTACGGCAGGAGCTGAGTGCCTGTGCTAGGTACTTCTTGTGCAAAGGCACAGGTCAAGACTGCCCAGTTGCTATGGTAACACCCTGCTTAAAGGAGGCTTTGTGTTAGGTACAACACTATCAATCTTGACCCTGAGTTCAGACACTAGCTCCTGGGGGTAGAGAATTATGAGTGCAAAAACGATAATTATAATTGACTGCCCATTACTTTATCCTTCAGCCTGCCTGCTTTGAAGAAACTTTCTCACAGAAAACACTTTTGATGACAATATCTATATAATAAACATGCTGAGCTAGCTCTGGCTCATTGTTCTCTATATGGGTATGATGTCCCACCTGGTCTCAGCTTTCTCTCTCTTTCTTTGTCTGTCTTTTCTAATCTCCCCTGACTCCTCACCTGTCAGTTGTGGCAGACAGGCATAACACAGGTAAAAGGTACAGAACTGAGAATCCAAAAATCTCATATTTATAGTTAATTTACTACACAGATGCCAAAACAAGTAAGTGGGGGGAAATATACTTTTTCTCAACAAATGCTGCTTGGACAAACAACTGAATATCCACATGCAAAAGAATGAAGTTGGGCCCCTTACCTCATACACATACCAAAATCAACCCAAAATGGATTTGAAATTAAATATAAGACCAAAAAAATCTTTGAAGAAAACATTAAAAATTTCAAAGATAGTGTCTATGTTGCCATATAGAGAATGTGTGGGCTCAAGTGATCCACCCACCTCAGCCTCCTGAGTAGCTGAAACTACAGACATGTGTAACCATGTCTAGCTTCTGCATAAATTATTATAAACTTGGATTGTGTGATGGTGTCTCAGCTATGGCATCAAAATAAAAATGTCAAAAAAACAGGTAAAATTGGGCCTTATCAAAATGAAAAACTTTATGTTTCAAAAAACACTATGAGGAAAGAGAAAAGATAATCTATATTATCAGGAAAATATTTATAAATCATATGTATGATCTTGAATATCTAAAGAACTCTTACCATTCGATAATAAAGAGATAAATTAACCACTTAAAATATGCCCAAAATTGGAATATACATTTCTCCAAAGAGGATACACAAAAGGCCAATGAGCATATGAAAACAGGTTCAACATCATTATCCATCAGGGCAATGCAAACCAAAACCACAATAAGACTCCACTTCAGGGCTGCAGGTATAGCTCAGTTGGTAGAGTGCTTGCCTCACATGCACAAGACCCTGGGTTCAATCCCCAGCAACACAGACATAAAAAAGATCCCACTTCATATCTACTAGGATGGCTATAATCAAAATTAACAAGTGTTAGAGAGGATGTGGAGAAATTGGAATCTGAATTGTACAGTCTATAAATTTTATCTTGATAAAACTGTTAAAACCACACATAGCTACAAATAAAATCAGTTATATTGAACTAGAGTCATCAAAATATGGAAACAATTACTTGATAAAGAAATATATGTGCTTCTTTAATAAGGCAAAAAATAACAAGATACAGTTCTAATAGCTATCTTAATTTTGAAGTAGTGATGAGTGTAAAATAAATTTTGATGCATTTGCAATAACAACAAAAATGACTGATGTTTTCCAACCTCTAAAGAATAGGGATGGAAGGCATGGTAACATACGCTTGTAATCTCAGCAGGTTGGGAGGCTGAGGCAGGAGGATCACAGGTTCGAAGCCAGCCTCAGCAACTTTGCAAAGCTCTAAGCAACTTAGCAAGACACTGTCTCAAAATATAAAATAAATAGATAGATAGATAGATAGCAGGGTTGGAAAAGGGGGGCGAGTAATTCAATTAGTTAATTGTTTCCCCTGATGTGAAGCTCCAGAATTAAAATTCAAGTAAAAGATACCTTCTTTTTAGTGAGGATGGAGATGTTTAAGTTGGCTTATAGTCCAGTGCTTTTGGGACATTTATGCAAAATTAATTATGTTAGCAGACTGAACTACCAAGTGACTTGGTCCTATCTGAATAAACCCTTTAGTCATCCTGAAATGTAGTGAAATTTGGCAGGAGGTCAATAATTGATGCCTGGTTTCCAAGGCAAAGCAAGTAGGGAGGGGAAATGGGAAACAGATTCAAAGGGGAAAAAAAAAAAGCAGGGAGATACCTAAGGGCTTGTCATGCTCACACTCTTGTCCCCAATCCATCAGAAAAGGTGATGTGATCAGAATAGCACAGGATGTCTCAGATCAGAATTGAGGAAGCATTTTCCCCATAACATCTTCATTGATTGTCCCTTCCATCAAATGTCTACCCCAGGACTGATATTCAAATTATCTGACAAGTGGTAACAAATGGCCACAGACCATTTAGGGCAGTTGACTGCCACAATACTAAAATAGAGTTCTGGATGACTGCTACTGTAGCAGACATTACTTGTAAGATTACAGGGAGGGCCTAGACGTGGAATTGAACAAAGGTTCTTGGACAACTGTCTCAGAAGATGCTCAACTTCTCTAATAACACATGAAACAACTTCCCAGTACACATTACCCCAAAGATAGGATACAGAGAGGAATAGAACAAAAGTTCCTAAGGTTTGATGAATAAAACATTGGGCAAGTGGTTGATACTGCATTCATCTTACTGATTTTGCAGCTAGAAATTTCTTCTCTTGGCAGATTAGAGTCAAAAAAGATTTCAATGGGGGCTGGGGTTAGGGCTCAGTGGTAGTGCACTTGCCTGATCTGTGTGGGGCACTGGGTTCTATTCTCAGCACTGCACATAAATAAATAAAATCAAGGTCTATCAACAACTAATAAAATTTTTTTTAAAACAAAAAAGATTTCAATGTACCACTTCAAGCAGTATCTTTTCATGTTTACACTCTGAAGAGCTACCTTACTATGAAAATAGGGCTATATTTGGGTTAAAAGTCTTATCGTACCTTTTCATCATTTAAGCAGCAGCAAATATTGGGCTGGGGATGTGGCTCAAGCGGTAGCGTGCTCACCTGGCATGCGTGGGGTGCTGGGTTCGATCCTCAGCACCACATAAAAGTAAAATAAAGATGTTGTGTCCACCAAAAACTAAAAAATAAATATTAAAAACTTATCTCTCTCTCTCTCTCTCTCACTCAAAAAAAGCAGCAAATAAAGCAAGCAATTTGAGATTGGGACCAAAGGCTATTAGCTTACACTATCAGCTGCCCCAGCTCTGAATATTGAGGTCTGCCTGGGGGGTAAGGGACTTTCTCATTCATGTGGGCACCACTCCCCAGTTTCTTCCTTCTTATACACCCATCCCATCAGTTCACAATTCCTTTTCACATGAGGAGAAAACCTTCTAAGAGAGGAAGAAACTGATTAAGCTAGATGCTGAGACTCAGCCTTTACTAGGCAGGAAAGTCTTGGGCTCTGCATGGAGCTTCTGAGCAAGAAGAAGGGAGGTAAGCCATTTGAACAATAACTATTAATTTTTTATTAAGTATCTTGTTAAATATAACAATAATTTCTTCTCTTTCATAAAAACAACTTAAATTTTTACAACATTATCAGTTTGGAAAAAGACGAACAAAGAAAAGTAAAGAATGAAGAAAAGTAACCAAAAGACAAATTCAAGCACAGAATAAATACAGCCTATTTTCTTTTCATGCTTTCTTAGCCTTTGTGGCTACTGCCAGAGTGCCAGACCCCTCAGCCTCATAATTAAGAGCCCAAAATCTCCTCCAGCTTCGACGTGTCCAAGGGTGGGATTTTGGCGACTTCAAAGAAGATCCTGCAAAAGGAAGAGTGGGTCTGCTCAGTGTAAATTAGGTCAAAGCCAAACAGACTCCATGGAACAAATAGGACTTAAGGCCCTTAGTTTTCTCTTACTTTTTAACCATAGAGTAGAAAGGAATATGAAATGTGTCTGAATTCCTTTTTCTTTTAAGTGAGACTAGTCTGGGCCTGGCATTTTAATGTGTCCCCATGAATGAACACAAGCCCAATATCAGTTACTTACTGGTGAGAATACTTGGAATACACAGTCTTGAGCCTATTGTAAGAACTGAAAGTCAGCATGAAGTTCAGCCGCCTAACCAGGGGGTGGAGCTCAGAGGACTTGTAGCCACTGTAATACTCCAAGATAGGAACCTAGAAGAAACACGAAGAGTTTGACTTTTACCATAAGAAGCATAACCTTCCTCCATCCCTCCTACCCTAAATCCAAACTCTCCATCTATCATTTAGGCAGGAATAATATTCAAAGATTCATACAGTACAGACACCAACCAATAATTATAGGGTACTATCTAGAAGAAAAGTTTTCATACACAAAGTTCTAGGATGGCCATATTCACATGTACCACTTGATGTTAGCCTTGGTCACAAGCATTCACATAAGCTGAAAACCTCCAAAGTCATAAGGAATAAGACTGATTTTGTAATTTACTATGAGGCCCAGAGCCAATGGCCAAGTAAAACCCCAAACAAAATCTGACTCCCAACCCAACAGCCAACAGGAACTTATCATTGTTTCTCATCTCTGGCTTTAATAACTATCATTCCATACATTCATTTTCTCACTTGACTATAAGAATCCTCTGGCCAAAGCAACATGGCAATGTTTAAGAGCAAAGGTACTGGAGACAGTACCTGTTTAAATTCCAGCTCCATTAACAGCATGGCCTAGAGAGTTCTTTAACTTCATCATGGCTCAGTTTCTCAGCCTGTCAAATGGGGATTTTTATAGTACTTTTATTACAGGATTAAATGAATGTGTAAACACACACAGAGGGAGAGAAGGAAGAAAGGAGGGGGAGGAGAGAGAAAGGGAGTGAGGGAGAAAGAGAGAAAATAGAGTCTAGTACATAGGAGATGCCCAAATAATGCTAGCTAGGATTAATATTATCAAGCCCCATGTAAGATGCTGAGAATACCAGGATGAATAAGGGACCCATCTCCTTTGATGAGTTTAGTTTAGAGAAAGAGACAAACATGCAAACAGAGAGTTACAAAATGTATGCTAAGTGCTATGATGGAAGTGAGTACAGGACACTGGAGGAACAGAGCAGCAGAACCCATTAACTCCAACTCAGAGAGTCACAGAAAACTTCACAGAGGAGGGCACATCTGCAGTGCATGCTGAAAGTCAAGCAAGAGCTCAACAGGCAGAGAAAGGAAGAGGATTTATCTGTAAGCTGGTGGTTTTCTAAAAATATCTTCAAGTATTTGACATGAACTCTTTTGTTCCACAAATAGCTTACCTGGAAGCCCATATTTGGGGTTACCAGGAAGTCAGGGTGGGGTTAAGAAACCTATCAATTTAGAACCCTTTACCATTTACATGGTCCCTTAGATACTTCTGCTAGAAACCCAGGAGTCCCCTGAGCACTGTCTGGAAACCACTGCCACAGACAAAAGGTAATCATGAAAGGTGCCAATCAAGGGACTAACACAATATTTGGGCATGTTAAATAAGATTAGAAAATTGGACTTGGGTTGTGGCTCAGTGGCACAGCACTTGCCTGGCACATATGAAGCACTGTGTTCAATCCTCAGCACATAAAAATAAATAAAAAAATAATGGTTTTGTGTCCATCTACAACAAAAAATATTTTTAAAAATTACATAGTGCCACTGCCACTGTGCCAGTTCAGGCCCTGGATTCTTCCCCTTGATTATTACAACACCCTACTCACTGGTATTCCCACCTTTATAGTCTCCCTCACTAGTATTCCTTCTATACTGCCATACAAGGATTGTTTCCAAAACACACAAACAAGAGTATGTTATTTCCCTAAAAAATCCTTCAATGCCTTAGTAAGAATTGGGTCTCTTAGGCTGGAGATATAGCTCAGTGGTAGTGTATTTGCTTATCATGCCCAAGGTCCAGGGTTCAATACCCAGTACT